ATACATACATGCATAAATATTATATATTTACACACATATGTATACACTGTATATATGTGGGGAAAAATGTCTTATAAATACATATGTATGTACATATGTGCTTACGAAATGTGTTGATTGCACTTGCCATTAAGATATTCATTCGTCCATCTCTCAATGTTGTAGTTTTTATTGCAATTTTCACTAACACATTTCACGATATCACAAGAATAAATGCAACTCATTTTTAACTGCTTCGGTCAATTTCTATTGCACGTATACTTTCGTCTGCATGCACACATATGTATATAAATAAGGGTGGTCCAAAAATGCATGTGAAAAAGTAAAGTCGGAATTTGTATGCTCTAACCCCCTAGGATTGTTCTATACCGGAAAAAATATACGCCTCTTTTTTATTTTGAAATCAAAAAATATTTAGAGGTTGCTCAAAGCGCTCAAAGTTTTCCATGTATTTTATATTGGGAAAAAAACAACTTTTCGGATAAGTGGTATATAATTCTTGAAAAGCAATATAATTCGTTCCGAAAACTTTATTTTTTTTCAGGAGATTCCCAATAATAATACGCAATTATTTATTTAACAATTTTTCCATATTAACTGTAATTTTTAGGTCCACCAAAACCGCCAGATAATGCCAGAAAATTCAATGGCGGATAAATAAAAAATCTTTAGGCAAAAATTAGTTTTAGGGCAGTGTCACACGATTATGCATTTGCCCAAAATTTGTTGCAAATCGTATCCCAATCATGTGATTACACAAATATTTTTCCCTATTCCAATCACGAATAACAATTTGCTCAAATTTTTCAATATAAGTTCGCTGTATTGTACCAATCGTGTAACTACAAAAAAAAACATCCGTCCCAATTTTTTTATTTTTTACCAATAGCCCGACATAAAAAATGTACAAATCTGTACAAATGTACCAATCGTGTGACACTGCCTTTGGAGTTCCTGAGAAAAGGTTGAATATTTTAAAAGAAATAAAAATAAATCGGTTCCGATTAGCTTTTCAATAGTTCTAGAGTGTGTACTCTTATTTCACAAGTGGTAGTGGCTTTTAAAAATATCGAAAGGTGTTCGTTCCATATATCAAGTATGATTTGTACATCAGTTATTAGATTTCCGGTCTCATCTTTACAGGCACCAAAATAAGTCCTATGAGCATTAATCTACTGTAAAAGACACAAAATTCCTCTCAACGCTGCCAAAGAGGAAGTTTATCGGGGGGCTAAGTACTCGAATGCCGACTATAATTTTGCATACACAATGCGCTTTCTAAAAATATAAACCTTTCAAAGCTGTATTTTTAATGGGAAACAACTCATCCTAATGTGAATACGTTCACTACGTACTATTTACATAAGTACATACATATATTTATAAGTAGTTGTGCATATGAATATACATATGTAAGTATGTGTTTGTGGCTAGATAAATATTTGCAGTTGCATTTAACCGCTCGGTGTGTTTTTTTCTAATTTACCACAAGCACAAGCTTTCACCAACAGCTGACAAATAGCCAATAAGCCAAGCGTGCATCTAGATGCAGAAGAGATGAACGAGTATATATAAAGGATATTAAGTGACCGATGACATGGCTTGACAATAACTCTAGTATATGCTTACATATCTTAATATGTATGTAGGAATGAAGAACACATATTCCAAAACACGCACGAAGAAAAAACTCACTGAGGCACGGTCCAGCACGACCCGAATCAAAAGAAATATGTATTTACTTTAAGTAAATAAATAATAAAGCATTGCTGTTAATTATTTTACACAAGACAATTTCAATACTACTTAGTAAAAAAATGGTTTTTTGGCGCTTACAACTTTGCAAAGCATCTCCTCATATTTGTGGTGCGTGTCTTGATGTTGTTACACAAATGGAGGGCCTATAGGTTTACGCCGCCGACGAACCGCAAATGAATTTTATGAGAAGCCTTTTCATCGCAGAAATACAATCGGAGGTCGGCCATCGCATGCCGAGAAAAAACTTTTTCTAACTTATATGTTGCGCGGACCAGGGATCGAGCGCAGGTCCTGCGTAGGGTAGTACGCACCAATAACCTCTCAGACACAGCGGTCATACCTTTTGCTACTATTTATTACTTTTAGTGCGATTCTTCTGGGCTTTGCTTCGCAATCGGTTTCGTGAGGAGCAAACAGTGGTTGTTAAATTGGCAATGTTATCACACTTATAACTTTTAGCAGGGCAAAAAAGGGAAAATTTATATTCGAGTAAATGTTGGACATAGATAACCTAGTGATGAGTTATTTGTATATATGCATATATTTACTATGTATAGTATATATGTAAAGACTGTGTCAAATATAACGAATGTTATTTTTTCCTTTCGGTCCCGCACGAGCAATTTCGTTGTCGGTCACAAAAAAAAAAAATATTGAAAAATTTCGCTCGCAAAAATGAATTTAATAATGATATCCTTTTTTTTAATAATCCGATTAAATATAATAAATTAAAGAAGAGAATTTCGTAAGCCGATTCGATTATTAATATAATAAGGAGTAGCTAGTTTCAGTTAATTTTTGAAAATTGTTCAGTAGAAGGTTTTCTTGCATTTCTTTCTGCAGTACAAGTTGTTCGAACCCTTTGTATGTAAAGAAATAACTCACTTCCGGTTTCACACAAGCAATTTAAGTGAAAAATGATTTTTTTCTTTCAGTTTCCATTATACAATAAATTTTACCTTAAGCTTTCGTGCAATGGCTATGACACCATATAAATTAATGCTGCAGTTTTCAATTAAAATCAATTTACACCATAATGTACTTTAGGTAAATTAAAACAAGTTTCTTGAAAATTTAAAAACTTTTATTGTAATCATATTTTATGAAAGCAAGTTTTCCGGGGTTAACAGCAAGCTAATTCCGGGATTCCGGGACCTGAAAAGTACCGGGATCCCGGAATTCCGGCATTGGCATCTCTAATATGTACACATGTGTGTGTATTTACTTTCGCCATCCAAATGTTACAAGTATATGTATGTACATATTTATAACTTTGAAATTATGGTTACTAATATAATGAATGTTAATGAAATTTTTCCCTATCCTACATACGGAAATTAAATGAGCTGAATTGCGTTAGAAAAAGTAAAACATGTAGAATGTATGCGCATATGTATGTATGCATAGTACAGTAGCGGTAGTACACTCTCGTTGAAATGAAAAAAACCCTGAGGTTCTTAAAAGTGAAAAACCCTATCTCGGTTATGTGAACAAACGGTTTTTCCAGGAATTTATTTCCGAAGGGTGTTCTTCTCCGAAGTAAGCGATTCGGAGCGATTTTTTAATGTGAGGTGTATTAAAATTATACTAGATGCTGGAGTCAGATCGATTGGTGTTCGTCCTCGAAATTATCAAAGCGAATATATGTACATATTTTATTCCGTAATAATTTCTGCAGTTTTCCAGCATTGTTTTGGAAGGAGCAGATTCACTTGCATAGCTCGCAATGAATTCAAAGTTTTAATTTTGTTCGAGAAATGTGAAGTAGCAAGTAGTCACTTTTAAACAAGTATGACATTGCCGAATCCACGGCGGGTACGATTTAAAAAAAAGCCTAGTACTAGGTGCTCAGGAAACTTTATGTGTAAACATCTATGCACGGCTTTGTTGGGTTCGAAATTAAACATTAATTACATCTCATTTTATTAATTTTGTCGAGACCAGTACTCAACTATTTCATAAACACTTCGAAAATAATAGTTCAAGACTATTTCAGGATCATTTTGTGGCTAGTTTCGAACTACGCCGATGTGATCCAGCACTAGTTCCACAATGGTCCTGAAGTGGTTTTGAAAAAGTCGCAAACTTGTCCCAAAGGAATATCGAACAAGTCTTGAAACATTCCCAAAATGGCCCCTTGCTAGTCTCAAAATGTTTCCAAGCTCGTCTCAAATATTCCAGTAATAGTCGTGGACTAGTCGCGAAATCGTCGTGAGCTAGTCTCTGATGGTTCAGAACCATTTGGTCCTCAAATAGTCCTGAACAGGTCTCGAAATCGTCCCAAATTCATCCCGCACTAGTCTCGAAATGGTCCTGACTAGTGCTGAACTATTTCTGAAATTACCCTGAACTAGCCCCACAATGATCCCGAACTAATTCCAAAATGTACATGAAATAGTCCTGAACTAATCTCGAATTGGTGCAGAACTAGATACCAAAAATAGTTACCAAATACATAGTCGTGCACTAGTCTCTTATTTTTATTAAATTTTTTGTTTCTATTATGTGAACAAATATGTAGAAATAGTGAACCCCCCGCTTGTCTGAATTAGTTAAAATAATTGAGCTGCTGCTGTATACATACATTTGGCTATCACCAGAGCTAGAATAGCTAGGGAATGCTTAAATGAAAAATTAGAAGCAAAAAATGCATAACGCAACTTAATTGGACATCATTTAAGTAATATAAATTTCAAGGCTGCTGCTGCAGCAAAATGATGCACATACATATACACATCAGTTTGTGTAAAGTTAGTCTTAATAAAGGTATACTAATAAACATTTCATTCATACTTCATCTGATGGAAATGGACTTTGAAGTTAATAAAAAAATTTCTTAAACAGAAGTCAACGAATTTGTTTATAATTTCATAATGTATAACTATATCCTTAAACCCAGCGTGATTAGCCAAGCATTTTTAAGAGTTAAATATCTCAACTTATCTTAGGAGTAGTGCTGTTTTCAATACTGAGTTTTAAATAACAAAACAGCCAGGAAATTTTCCTATGTGTAAAATTTAAGCTAAATTGGAGCCCATCGTATAAAAATGACCACATTTAATTTGTGGTCGCTATATACTCGCTTACACACTTTTGGTATGCCACCATAAGGCATCTCACAGAATAAATAACCCAACATTAGTTATTCTGCGGGCAACTTAAAAAGGTTGCGCATACGCTCCGGTGTCCTGCAGTAAATGTATTCATTCATGAACATGCAAATATTACGTGGAAAGTAATTAATGCAGGTTACCGGATTTGTTGACATTTTATTCGCTGGCAAGGCTTACTCAAAATCTTTACTCAGAAATTTACTTGAGGGTTTTAGTTTTACCTGTTACCAATTCATTTAGATAAGATGTATAAGTACATATAGTATTAGTATCGAGCTTCTAAAAAATTTTATATATTTTATGTATTTCTTAAATGTTGTTTCGTTGTTGATTATCGGTGTGTCTTCTCATTTTTCACAGGCGGCAGAATCAGGAAATTTGGATGAGTTTAAGCGTCTATATCAAGCGGATAATGGTCGTTTGTCTATAAAAGATGGCAAGGGACGAACAGCTGCGCATCAAGCAGCAGCACGAAATCGTGTGAATATATTGCGATACATAAATGATCAGCATGGAAGTAAGTTGATTAACTACCACGTTCATAATTCTACTAATTTATGTGGAGTAGCTTGTGCGACAAATTTTCATTTTATTTAATTGCAATATTTTTTATTTTCTTGCAGATTTTAACGCAAAGGATAATGCAGGAAATACTCCACTACATGCGGCAGTCGAGAACGATTCGTATGAAGCGCTTAGTTATTTGCTATCCCTGTAAGTTTAAAAAGAAATTATAACCTTTTTAGAAAAAATAAATAAAATATTTCGGACTGTTGGAATACACCTAAAGAGTGCGAACTTTGCGAGTTAATATTAATCGCTTGCAAAAATGCATGTTTTCTAACATAGCTTAAATACTTTGTTAAACGGAAATTATGTGCATATCCATCTAATAAAGGTTTGTCAGTGACAGTTTCTACTTCCCTTCGCAAAAACAAGTTCTAACTTAGAAATACATTTTGAATGTAATGATTCGCCTCTCTATTGGAGTCACCAAAGTTAACTGAATATTCTGCGTACTTATCCGCACGTAAATGGCCTATTGGCAGTATATCTTAGTGTCGTGTTTTACAATTTACCGTAAGTTTTTTGAGAGTTGTTCAGTATAGAGCCCTTGGACAGGAACTTTCTTAAGTTTATAATCTCGTTAAAGTTCTCGCACGAACTTCTCCTTTTTATCCGTAGAGCTTTCTTATAATTCCATAGCAGATCCCAATACTATCCCACAAGCATTTCCAAAGAGTGCCAAGTTGGAGGTTTCACCAAAGTGGCATTGCTCTTTCCCAACATTGGACCTGCACTTAAATTGCCATGGCATACTGTGTACTCTTTGTGAAAGAAGGGACTAAAACTAAGATCTCGAGAACGGGAAGAGATAGCGAGTACCTAGATGGAGAATGTAGTAAAAATAGTATTTGAAGGTCTATCCAACGAGACTATTTGTCCTGAATTCTCCATATAAAAAGCTTTAAAATAACTCATTTATTTCGCCATTTCCGTACATTTGATTTTGTACCTTTTTTTCAAAAACAAAGAACATTGTGTGGAGAAGGAATCAGAGAAAGCACTTATGTACGTCAATCGCTAGTATTTTTGCATATCCGAAGGGACTGGGAGCACTCGCATTCTCAACAAAGCCGTATGAGACGTCAACTCCATGTGAAAATATGCCGAACTTAGAACTCTCTCTCTGACCCGGTCTATGGTCACAGCCCGCCAGACGTTCAGTGCTGTCATTAGACAAAGTGAAGAGTTTGCTGCTCCTGATCTGCATTCGCATCTCACATAATGTACATACGTGGAAGTTATACCCCATCAATGTACTATTATTAATTAAACCTGGAAAAGGGTTTAAAAAAACGACTGAGTTGGTATATTCTGAACGCAGTAGGTACTGGCTAGCTTTTAAATAGATTAGATATTGTTCTATACAATAAAAATAATATCAGGCTACTCACCAAATAGGCCAGGCACCAAATAGGTATTATCGGAAAGCCCGAATTCGGTCTCTGCAGGACGATGAAATTTCTTTTTTGACTGTCCGCCTTGGCTAGACAAAGATTAATTCATTCAAAGCTATAATGATCACAGGTGACTTTGGGATTCTTTAAGAAAGTGGAACATACCTTGGGGTTACTGGGTTAGGTACTCACTTTAGAAATAGAAAAAAGTCCCCAGAAGTCGCAGTTTTTCTTGTTCTGCTATACGCATTCATTTAAGTAGCTATTAACATACATTTAGGAGAATTATTTGAAGGCACGAACGTTTTTCACGCCATTTTGAATTAGTCCGGCCATCTTTCTGGTCTGGTATCCGCCCTACATCCTCTCGGCGCATTAAATGAAGCAAAATTGTTCTAGTGAATATAATCTAGCCGGCGTTGAGCCGCACATAGAGCCATAGGTCCTTAGCGTTGCTAGTTGGGCTCGTTTTTACGCGTTAAAGTAGACATCACAAAGAATGTCAACGCTTTTTGCGAATTTCAGTAGCAATTTTAACTCTACTTTGGAGATGCTGAAATTTCCTGCTTACAAATCCCTTTACTGACGAAACAAATATAAATTTTCGAATTCTCATTCAATTTTTTGATAAAACATATATTTTTTCAATACCTCATTAATTTACGTTTGAAAAGGGGCGGAAAAATAAACAGAGCCGCGACATTTTAAAAAGTTTTGACGGTTTTCCGTTTTTTATTTAAAGTTTCATTAAAACTTCAAACTTTTTACCAGAATTTTCAGTAAAAATTGGGTAAGCAATTTTATAGTTTATAAGTTTTTTTTCTGACGGTTTTACGCATTTTCTTCTATACAAAGTATCTTCGAACATTTTTTATATAGGAAAAAATGCGAACAACGCCAGCAAAAAAATTATCAAAAATCGGCAGATTTCTTTTGCTCCTTACAACTCTTACAATTCTGGTTAAAAAGTTTAAATTTTGATGAAACTTTGTTTAATTTTCCTATTTTTTGTACAAAGTTTACTTACGTGATTTTTGTCTACAAAAAACACGAAGAACAATAAAAAAAAACAAAATCAAAAAGCCAAACTTTAAAAAAATTTCCGCCACTGTATGCATACGACTCTAATAAATTCCATATTATCATCACAGTCCCGTCGATACTAGTTTACTCAACGAGAAGAAGCAAGCCCCGGTACATTTGGCAACCGAATTGAATAAGGTACATGCGCTACGGGTAATGGGTAATTACCGTAAAGTAATCGATATACAACAGGGTGGTGAGCATGGACGCACAGCACTGCATTTGGCCGCCATTTATGATCATGAGGAGTGCGCTAGGATATTGGTGAGTGTAAGCATGAACAAACATGAGAACGTTTTGTAAGTGAATATATGTAGTGCACATGTAAATATGTAAAAAACCCACAAACCCACAAACCCACATAATTATGCACACACAAACCCTTTTGCTATAATAGGTACATTAGCCGTAAGGTACTTATTCTATGTCTCCAATGCGAGATTTACCTATTAAGATTTAATAAATTCAATTCATATGCCAATCATCTCCATNTTTTGCTATAATAGGTACATTAGCCGTAAGGTACTTATTCTATGTCTCCATTGCGAGATTTACCTATGTATTAAGATTTAATAAATTCAATTCATATGCCAATCATCTCCACAGTCACAAATGGATATATCTGACTTTTAAATTTTCAAGTATTTGACGTTTGTTAACGTTGAATTTTATAAATACAGATGGACAGACATTGGAATACAGAAAGGCACTAGGAATGCACATAGAGTACAATCCCGGCATTTTTGTTAAAAAGAAGCGATATTTGGATCCTTTATTATTATTAGCTTCTTATTTGTAGTAGATTTTTAAACCAATACTTTTAATTAAAATCCATAATTTAAACTAACATAAGAAAGTAGTAGTAGTAGGCAACTGTATGTTCAAAATATTAATGTCATTTGACTAATGTCGTGGGAATATGAGATTGTCACACCCAACAAATTGTATTTATTGAAGCTTCGAAGCCGAGAAAATTCAAATGAAATGTTCGATCACTTTCAATAAGAACCTTCTAGAGTTGTCATGAGTGCGAACGCGTGTATATAAAGACGTTGCTAGAGCGCACAGAAAGTTCAGTTGCGAATTACTACTTGGGGTGGAAGTACGAGTTACAGAGATCAACTGCCTGAACAAGTATTGTAGAAGTATTGGCTGTACAACAAAACTATTTGTACTGGATACCAAGCGAGAGTTTATTTAACAATCAAGTGAAACGGACCTAATAGATTTAGGGATTCAGCCATTTATTCAAAGATAATTGTAACAATTGGTGTCAAAAGATGATTGTTAAATGAATCCAATGGGAGAAAGTTTTTGAATTGACGATGCTGTATAATTTGACGAGACTGCCTCTCAAAAAGTAATTATCAAAGCGAGGATTAAACTAAGTGGAGCTACAATCACGGCTACAAGAACGTTGTTGAGGACGAGGAAAGATGAAGAGCTGGAAGAGGCTGCTTCTTCATCAAGGGATATGCAGCAGTCATCAAGTAAAGTCTATTTGTTCTTCTACTCGTATTGATATGAGTACGTTAGTGGCTGCAATTTCATGCCGGATGCAAGCGCTTTAGTGACATATGCCGTCAACAGTGTCAGCGCAGGTGTCAAAGCAATTGTCAGAGAGGCTGCAGAAAACTAATATGTCATCGCAGCTGGATGTATGTGTATACCACGCAGCTTAAGGAAAATTTTGTCAAAGATAACGCGGAAGTCAAATAGAGAGAGAGGATAAAATCGAGGAGCAGCAAGATAAAATCGACGCGCTTATTAAAGAAAAAGTGGACGATTTACCGTTATGCTGTTCGCCTTTTAGAAATAAGTTTTTAAAAATTAGGTTAAATTAAATTTCAAAAACATATTAAAACAATGAAAATAAATAAATAAAATTAAATTAGAAAAAAAAATAAATTTAATCAAAAAGGAAGGAAATAGTATATGAAATTAAATTGAATTCAAAATATTTTTAATAAAAAAGACGAAAAAAAATTTAGAAAATTGAATGGGATTTTAAAAATTAAATGAAATAAAAATTAAAAAACGTATAACAAGTCAAAACTAAAAAAAGAAAAATAAACAAAATAAATTTCTAAAAAGTAATGAAATTAAAATAATACTTTTTCTTTTTTACAAAATAAAATCTAGAAAGTAAAAGAAAATAAAACTAAAAACAAAAAAACTTTTTAAAAATTACAAAAAAACAGGTTTCTAAAAATTAAATGAAACTAAAAATTTNTTTAAAAATTACAAAAAAACAGGTTTCTAAAAATTAAATGAAACTAAAAAGAAAGAAAGACCAGAACAACCCAACGTTAAAAAAGAACTAAATAAAACAAAATTTTATTGAAAAAGAAAAAAAAATTATATAAAGTAAGTTTCTAAAAATTAAATTAAAATAAAAAAATATGTACTACATATTATTAAAAAAGAAAATAAATTCCGCTGCACCAGGACTCGAGCTCGGATATCTCGATTGGCACGCCTGTGCTTTGCCCACACGGTCATTGTGGCTGTTGGAAGTGACGCGAGCTAAGTGATGTACAGTGCTTTATCTCACAACAGCTTTTCACCACGAGTAGTGAATGAAAGAGCTTTTCTTCTAAGGTTCTTGTGCTAGACTAACAAAAGTCTTTCGAACTATTTGTCTTGCCATCTGTCTTTCATTTGTATTCCGAAAGATTTTTAACTATCTTAGCTAGAATTGCCCTGTAAATCTCGCAATGCAGACATAGTATTAATCTTCGTCATTTTGAGCGCCCGTATAGCGTTTTTTAAATCTAATTTTTTCTTTATGTAAATCCATTGGTTGGTCGTGTATAAAAGTATTTATTATGTTCAACCCACAACCATGAGATCCCTACTTTATGCACATTTCCATATGTATGCATTGACAAAGGCAAACAATTTAAAATCGTAAACTTAAAAAAAATCTCTTATTTCTATTTTTTTTCAACATATTTTTTAACTTATCTTTCATTAACCAGTTACTATTTTTATTTTTATTTCACGTTTACTCTTTTAAAGCCATCGTAGTTGTTGTTGTTGTTGTTATTGTGTAGCGTCATTTGAACACCTTTTAATTCGTTGTGTATATATATCTGTCGTGTATTCCAGATAACCGAATTTGAAGCATGTCCCCGTAAACCCTGCAACAATGGCTATTATCCCATACACGAAGCGGCTAAAAATGCCAGCTCCAAAACGATGGAGGTCTTCTTGCAGGCAAGTAAAAGCATAGATATGCACATACATGGATACATACATACATACACTGGTGGCAGAAATAACAGACTCGGCTTATTTCGACCGGTTTTGGCTATATTTCTTTTGGTTTGGTTTAAATAAATAGTTTGAAATTTTGGTAAAAATGTGTTTAATTTTTTATAATTTTTGTACAAAGTTCGAAGTGTTAATATATGTATGTGGTGTTTGTTGTATAGCTAGCCAAACTTTTGTAATAAAAATATTAACCAGTAATATAACGCGAGTCTATTATTTCTGCCACCAGTATACATACATACATATGTATGTGCTAATTTATTTGCATTCATACACATGCACATTTAAACAGCCCATTAAAATGTGTAGTAAAATTACGCACCTTTGTTTGTGTAGCTTTATCAATAGCCCTTTTTCTATTTGTGTGTATGTATTTTTGTCATTTGACCAGATGTACACCAAATCCACAATTTTTTTTTTTTTTGTTTATTGTCTTTTTTTTCATATATTTATATATGTGCGCTCTACGTGAATAATGTTAACCATGTGCGGTCAATCCTTATGTATTTTCCAATTTAGTTTTTGAAAACCGGTCAATTCTGCACAACCAACCCATTGTTAACTTATTTAATAACATCCATACATATACGTACATATGTGTGTGGGGGCAATACAGTTTACATATGCATACATATGTACTTGTAGCATTATGTCTTTCCTGCTTATTTGCATATCCCATTGTGAGTATTCTGCAAATATTTGAAAATACTGGTCATCACTGAGTAGGTGATGGTCTCTTGAGTTGTCTTAAAATAAGGGGTTCGTTTGCTGAGTTTACCCTGGTGTATACGTATATGTCAACTCAGTTTTAAGCTTTTGCTTGTGTACATATGTATTAGTGTATTAAACTTTTCACTCTTAGGGTCGTTTTCTCAAGTAACCTATAACTTTAAAGCTCACTTTATATATAGATAAAGGTTTGATTAAAAATTAAGCTATATCTAAAGTTAAGCATTTCCATTAACGGTTTTTGACAAAAGATTACCCACTGAAGACTTCGTCGAATTTAAAACCAACTACTAGATCAAAAAATTAGCTTCTATGTTTATTAAAAAGTAGTGTAATGAAGAAAATCGCAGCTGAAGAGCTTGATTTTTTTATAAATTTGTATAACTACTCTGCAAAGAAACAAAAATGTTTAAGTAGGGCATTTCTTTATTAAGGCAACGATATGATCATTAAAATGACTCCAAAATATTAAAAAATAAGCTCGATATATGCCCCAAAAATGTATGTTTAACAAAAATTGTTCGATTAACGCATAAAAGCTTTTTTACATATGTATGTATGTACATACATACAAAATGTATTTAACAATTGCCCAACAAGCAAAATAAACTTAAAGCAAGTTTTTTTTTTTTAGTTTTCAATTATAAACATTAAGCTTACAAAACGTTGATTTTTTGTTTATAAAACGCTTGAAAGTAAGCGTAATATAATCGAAAAGGAACATTGGTTATAAGCGTAGAAATATAAACTTGTAATAAATGTTCAAAAGAAAGCTTTTTATAAGCGTAAAAGTGTAAACTTATAATAAAGGTTCAGAAAAAGTTGTTTATAAGCGTATGAATATAAACTTACTAAAAATTTTCAAAAGAAAGCTTTTTATAAACATTTTTATAACCCTTTATTTAAAGATATTTCATTAAAAACTCATACATAGATTGCTTAACATCTAGAAACTAAACGAAATGCGAATTTTCGGCGGACTCATCTACAGTCGCGAAAATATAAATAGGGAATAGACATTTTAGCAGACAAATTGACGATAACATACAAAAATTAAGCATAAAAAAGTTAATTATTACATCTTGTTGCGTGCTTTCAATTACATGCGGTTATTGGTAAATTGGAAAAACGACATCGATGCAGCTATATATTCCGCTTCATCGCCGCCATTCTCATTGATGAACTTTTCTGAAAAAAATTTAATACATTTTTAATTGAATGTTAAACTAAGAAAGGATAAGGAGAACTCAACATTTGAA